ACACAGAGACACACGCACACAGAGACACACGCACACAGAGACACAGAGACACACAGTGACCACAGCGCAGTGCATTAACTCCTGGAGCGGAAAGATATCTAGGACTCTGGTCAGGAATGGAAAAGAGAGGAAAGGGAGACAGAGACATCTACTGGATAGTCAGCACCAGATCACAGACAGGTGAGCAGGCTTCCCCTTTCTGACTTGGTCAGGGTACTGTATAACTATACACTAATCTCCTACCCCCACACACATCCTTCTTCCATGTTTAGGGTTTTCTATATAAAAAGGTTTCTTTCTAATGTATATTATGGGAACAGAGCAGGATCCCCCTCCCTCGGGGAGATTTAACCCTTCTGTTCGCCTGACTAGTCTCGGGAAGGAGGACGGCGCAGAGGCGGGCAGCCACAGCTGTGTGTGTGCGTGCAGCTACCCCGTCTCGCTGCCGATCTGTGATCATATCGACAGCCTGGCTGGCGCAGGAGAGGACGGGCAGAGAGCCAGGCCTGCGAGCCGCACATCCCTCTGTGTGCTCTCACTAAAGCCCAGCTCATACCGGCCGAATTATTGAAATGTCTGCTTAAAAACTGCCCCTGGGCAAAGCCTCACGTAGAAAAATGGCCGTGTTCACATTGGGTCAGAGGGATAAAAGGGGCTGTTTTCACATTTTTTAATTAGAATTACCAGTTATTATTACTTATCCTCCCTATAATCCCCCCCATATTTTATTCTGCTTCTGTGGTGCAATCTTGCCGGTGCCTTAGAAGACGTTAACAGTTTAGAGACGTCTCTGGACAACTATTGCCCGCCTTAGCCCAGAAACACCCAGCCATGTGCTGACTGCTGTCGGGAGAGTCCTGGGCACAGCTGAGCAGTGACCAAGGTGATGTCACGAGTAATGTTGGGGTCACTGCTCTGAGTATGCGCCTCGACTGTCTGGACACCCCTCCTGGAGGATGTTTCTGCTCTTCCCACAAACGTTAGCCGATGCCCGACCAGCCGGCCGGTCACCCCGGCGGCTCCGCGGTTCCATCGCGTGCGGCGCGGGCTCACCTGTTGTCCTTGCCGTTCTGCAGGAGGGAGTGCCTGTCGGTGCTGGACCGGTCCGTGCACACGTACGTGTTCCGCCGGGTCATGGCACTTGCAGGGATGTTGTTCTGCAATGCAAGAGTCCCATCAGGGTGTGTACATGGTCGCCGTTCCCCTGACTCACACCTTTTTTTTTTAAGAGGTATTGGATATCAGCTCTTCTGCCATAATGATTGGATCCAGGCAGAATCACTCAACCAGTTTCCCGGTGTTAGCTGTGGAAATTCTGGCTGGACACTGAATTGCCAGCAGCCATATCACCCTGCAATTCACAACTGCCACCCACTGAAGCTCAGTGAGCCTGGCCAGTACCTGGATGGGAGACTCCTGGGAAAGCTGAGGTTGCTGCTGGAAGAGGTGTTAGAGGGGTCAGTAGGGGGCGCTCACCCTGCGGTCTATGTGGGAACTAATGCCCCAGTATTGTAATGGGGACACTATACTGTAAAAAGGCACCATCCTTGGGATGAGATGTAAAACTAAGGTCCTGACCCTCTGTGGTCATTAAAAATCCCAGGGCGTTTCTTGAAAAGAGTAGGGGTGTAACCCTGGCGTCTTGGCCAAATTTCCCCCTGGCCTTTACCAGTCATGGCCTCCTAATAACCCCCCTCTCTGAATTGGCTTCATTACTCTGCTCTCCTCCCCACTGAGAGCTGGTGTGTGGGGAGCAGACTGGCGCATCATCCAGGTGGGGCTGCACACTGGTGGCGGTTGTGGGATTCCCCATTACCTGCAAAGCACTTTGAGTGGAGTGTCCAGAAAAGTGCTATAAACAGTAAGTGTAAGGATTATCAAGTATTGAATAAACTCACAAAATATGCAGAGCTCTCCCATATTTAAATCAGGAACCTTAAAGCAACCCGGAAAGTTCTCTTCATCCCCTGTGGCTTTAGGCCAGCGGTTGCAATAACGAAGCTGCTCGCTCTTGGCAGGGATTTTGTGGAAGGAAAGGAAAAAGAAACCCCCCCTCTCACCGTGGTGGCATTAATCTCTTTGCGGCGGTCGGGGATCTCGGACTTGTTGGGGTTGTTGGCGCTGCTGACCATGGGGCTGGAAGGGGGGATGCTCCGGCTGCCCACCACGCTGCAGCTGGTCTTGCGCGACGGCATGCGCTCCTCCTTCAGGTCCGCCTCGCCCGTGCTGGTGGGGCTGCGCTTGGGGTGCGCCACCGGGAGGGAGGGGCCACCTGCGGGGAGAGGCAGGGTGTGAGGGAGCTCGGGCCGCTTCAGACGCTACAAAACCATCCGGAAGAGGCGGTCATGCTTTTAACTACTGCTGCAAGCTTTTGGATGCCATGCAGAGTTTCAGTTTCCTAAAGGCCGTTCTTGGTCTTCGTTTCCTTCCTTGAGTGTGAGAAAGCAAATTCTGAGTTTATCTGCTGTTAGATGCATGGCACATTTGCACTGAAGCAAAAAAAACACTTGAAAGTTGCCATGCTGTGGGCTTCTCCTAGCTAGGAAATGAACTAGAAATGCTTTTGCACATGAGCCTTAAAACCTGTAAAGGGCAAATAGCCTTAGAGATATACGTCAGATACTGAAAAAGAGAATACTCCACTATCTCTTGGTTTCCAGCTCTGATATGTCTGCCATTTATGGACAACAAAGGTCTCTCTAATGCAGTACACCCACTGTCAAACATGCACACGCCTGGGAAAGGTATTTAAAGGTACACTTGACTACCTGTATCTGTACTTGGGCCAGAGGTTAGCTGGTTGGCACATACTGAACAGAGAAACCCCAAACACCTCTCCTTCCTTCTACCCTATCCCCTGCCCCCCTGCGGCTCAGGGAACTCACAGAAATCACTGTGCCTCCGCTGCCGGTGGTAGGTGGAGGCGCTGCGCTGGCTCTTGCCATGGGAGGAGGAGGAGGAGGAGGTAGCGGACGAGTGCTTGCTGGTTCCGTTGGTGACGGTGCTGGGTCGCACCCGGGCCAGAGACAGGCTGCTCCCCGAGCGGGACTCACTGCTGTCCAGCTGGAACACAGTGGGGCAGAACAAGCCCGCCAGCTCAGAACCAGGCACAGACACCCCCGGTACACACTGCGCACCGAAGCTGTCGGCGGTTCTGCTTACAATGTAAGTTCCTGCAGTATTTGTTTGTACATTGTCTTGATGCACTGTTTGCACTTTGTTTTGTTTTTTTTACACTTGTTTTACAATCGAGAGACTTTCTGTAAGTAAGAATTCCATTGTACCAGCACCGGTTACATATGGCAATAAAGTTCAAGTCAAGTCAAGTCAAGTCATTTCAAAATCAATTAGCACGACACATCAAAGAAACAAATCCATACAAAAAAACAGTTTAAAAAACAATCGCTGCTCCCGAACAACAAATTTGATCCATTAGCTCCAAACACGCAGCAGGTAAGGGTCACTGCATCTAGAACTGAATTTAAAGAAAGGAGAGAACACGTACGGTACTTGAAGGTTCAATGCAGTTTCCCATCAGGCACTGTAAGCACAGTGCCTAGGGCCGCCGAAGGAGGGAAACACTAGCGACTAACGAAAAACGAGCCAAAACAACATGCTTGCGATCGACTCTAGGTGCTCCAAATCACTAATCACACGCTATCTAGCGGCTGTTCGAGAAACCAGACGTCTCGAAGTGCCGGTCACTCGACTCACTCTAACAATCACGGGGTTGAGCATTAGAATAGTTTGAGGTGCATCCTGTCAATCGACGTCATTCGATTGGCGTTGACGCCTCTTTTTGCACAATCCGGAGTGAAAGTGCCCAGGGCCTCCGAACCCCAAAATCCGGCCCCGGCTCAATGACTATGCACAGTGTTTTCCCTTCTATAGGACACTTAGCAGAAAGGCTAAAAAATTCCTGCAAAGTCGCAGTCTAAAACACTGCTGCAACGTGTGCTGAAGAGCGCCATGTCGTGGCGCGGTCCTGTAGAAAGAAAAACAAGATCGGTGACGGCGCTGCCGCAGCCCCCCTGCTGGCCCTCACCTCGTTGTTCTTGCGGCCCAGCAGCAGGTACGTGGCGGTGATGTCGTTGTACTTCTGTTTGGTCAGGGCGTCCTTGATCTGCTCACGGGAATAGCCCATACCCACCATCACCTCTGAGGGACGGCGCGGGGGGGAAGAGGGAGAAAGATCGGATCAGTCACCGAGCCCATCGGCTTTCGAGAAGCAAGATACTAACAGCTGCGATTCTTACTCTGGTTGAAAGCTGGGTTCCAGACTGGCTCTGTCAGGGTGGAGTTTGCATGACCGAAGCTCAAATCTGTTTTTTCCAGTTACCCAGGCTTATTCTGTATCAACAAGCTGTGCAGTATTTCTGAATTTTGACAGGATGTGCTGTTACATCAGCTCCACGTTTCACAGTTACCTGTGGAACCACAACACTTCACTGCACCAGCTATGACCACTTTACCTACAGTAGGCTGCCTTGGATAAAGGCTGCCAGGAAAATAACTACAGCAGGCGAAGGCCTCACCGATGCGGCTGGCATCACTGTAGTCCTCCAGGGGCTCCACGTGGGGCTTCAGTTCGTCCCCCTCGTACCCAGCGTTCATCCACTTGTCCTTCATGATTTGCTGGCGAGAAGAACAGATGGATTTGAAGTTATTACAGGAGATAACGGGACACAGCAATGAGAGAAACGCAGGCTCAAAATAAGATAAGCCACCTTCTTAAACAGCTGAGCTGTAAAATGGCATCAGGTGCTGGAGGTTGGTTTGGAGCCCATGCAGCCTGTTCACTGTGTTTGGTCAGAAAGCGCTCTGATATGACAACTGTTTTCACACCTGAAATTCTGTCGGGACCAGACCCCCCACTTGGAGGCTCCCAGCTGCCCCCACTCCACTCCTCTCCACTTAGCCTTACCTCCAGGGTGCAGCGCTTGCTGGGGTTGAGGACCAGGAAGCGGCGCAGGATGTTCTCGCAGTCGGTCGACATGTAGAAGGGCACGCGGTACTTCCCCCTCAGGACCCTCTCCCGCAGCTCCTGGGACAGGACACGCCAGAGACAGTGAGCCCCTGCACATCCTCGCCGAGCTCCTCGTTCGCACACAGCTTTTCTTGTATCTTATACACAGATGTTTTCCTGGGCTTTTGAGAGCCTGGTGCAGGACAGCCTCCCACACTGAAACCAGGAGACCCGACACAAGCACTCCAACATCGGCCAGCTTGGTCTCGGGCATCTTGCAGACGGTTTGGCAAGGTAATGGCTGATCTGGGGCGCCCAACAACTGGGAGAAGTGGGCAATAACTTTAATACAAGAGCAGCAGCTACAGTACTGCAGCAGGTGTGCTAGTGTGGCACAACGCCCTCCACTGCTGACACGCTGTCTTCCTAGAGGAGGTCCTGTGCTCGGGGATGGGAGGGCCATGTCAGACAGCGGGTGTTTTCCTGAAGGGGACTGAGCTTGTCTTTTGTACCTGTACAACTAGCAGGAGACCTCCTCTCCAGGAGCAGTGTCCTGGGTCCTATATCACGGGAGGACCTTACCTTCAGATTCTGCCCGTCGAAGGGCAGCGAGCCGCTGACCAGCGTGTACAGGATGACGCCCAGGCTCCAGATGTCCACCTCGGGCCCGTCGTACTTCTTGCCCTGGAAGAGCTCGGGCGCGGCGTAGGGGGGGCTCCCGCAGAAAGTGTCCAGCTTGTTCCCCAGGGTGAACTCGTTGCTGAAGCCGAAGTCGGCGATCTTGATGTTAGAGTCGGCATCCAGCAGGAGATTCTCCGCCTGTCAAGTCAGTATTTCAGGCACTGTAACCTTTTCTTCTATAGATACTGGTAAGATTAGAGGCCACTACAAAAAAGAAACAGCTTGGAAAAGTTTATCCATGTTGCTGTAGTTAAAAAAATCATTTTTTCTTATTCCTAATTCCCTATGACACCATTTGAAATTTGTAATCATTACAGAAAAATGGTGTTTCAAAGAGAGGGGAGATTAACCTAATAAACTTGTACAAAGTGCCTCCTAGAGCAGTTTTATTCACTAAATGGACAAACTAGCCAGTTGCCTGGTTCCAGTGTGGCCTGATTCTGACCTTGAGGTCCCTGTGAACGATGTTCTTCTGGTGACAGTAGTGCACAGCAGACACAATCTGTGTGAGAGAGAAGCACAGGTCATGATGGGCAGCACTTGCCTTGATTTTTTGTACACTGTAAGTTTACTTTAGTTTTAACCCGGAAACCTTTTAACAGACAATGAGCTGATCCAGCTTCTTGACTGAGATTTATATGAGGCAATGAATTAAGCGTAGTGAAATTCAGTTCTCGTCTCCGTCAGGTTCGATCTGCCTTGCTGTCCTGCTGATGAAGGCAAACAGAAACCCTCATCAGCAGTGCAGACCTGCAGTGCACCACCGGGGTGAGGTGGGCTTCACGGCTTTAGTTCGCTTGCTGCAAAAATGGCTCTAGGCACCTAAAATCATCTGACAGAAATGAGAGAGACGTTTCACGTTTCACTCCTCCCATCAGGGAGACTGTATAGAGCTGTACAGCCATAAAGCTTAGGCATAGAAAAGTGTTCATCCCAGTGGTTACCGATTTAAAAACAGGACTCCCACAGAGGCGTAAAGGAAACTACTTCTTTAACACGCTAGGAACAACAAGCAAAAGACAGAAGGTCTCATCAGAAATCACGGTCGCCAGCCCTACGCACGCTCCCATGTGGCCTGTCCGGTTCTCAAACCCCACACCGGAACCATCCGCGTCGGGGGTTCCGCATTCACAGCCCACGAGCCGCGACTGGATTACCTGCCGGAATTTGGCTCGCGCTTCCTTCTCCTTCATTCTCCCGTGAGACACGAGGTAGTCGAACACTTCGCCTGCGGGGGAGGCAGAGGAACAGGGACAGGGCACGGTGAGGGCGGGCAGCGCACCTGGGCCTCCGCCCCGCCGTCACAGAGGCTCCACACACACCGGGCTCCTGCTGCACCCCGAAGGGCCCTGTGGCCCTCCGCCCAGGCGCTAACAAGGACGATGTACAGCATGTCCACAGCCGTGGAACGATCAGTGGACAGACAGGATAGACAGAGACTGCGCAGTGTGTGAGCCTGAGGCGTGCGTGCTCACAGAGCCTCATGCAGAAGGGCACTCAGGAAGACTCGTACACGTACCACTGCACGTGCAATAGAAACAGGAAATTGTGTATTGCAGAGAAACAGCCCAGTTTCAGTTAAATGCTGAAATCTGGTTTTGGAGAGGCACACTTCAGAACCACAGATCCTGAAGAGAGCCGAGACAGGACACATGAATGTATGGGGGCCTGTGACATGACAGCTGCTCCTCCATGAGTGTCTTTGGCTGCCTCGCAGTCTGTCTAATTTCACCTGAGTATGACAAACACCAAACCAAGCGTCTTTCCTCTGCAGTACCTCAGCCTCAGAGATCATGAGCCCATTCGCTCAAGAAAGAAAGAGGACAGAGACGAAGCAAGAGATATGGGATGGATAATGAGGCCATACTGCACCTCACCCAAAGAGGCCCAGAGAGAAAAGAGGTTCAGATCCCAGCCGAGGAGGAAGACAGGGGTTCGGGGTAGGAACGGCACAGCGTGCCTGGCTGCCCCTGTGTCGCCCAACTCTCTTACAGTAAAGGGCAGCGCTGCAGAGAGCCGACCGAGAGCTGGGATGGCTCGGAGCAGCCGTATCTGGAGAGAAGCGGGCTGGATTCATCCCACGTGTCCGATCGATGTGACAGCCGTATGTGTATGTCTGTGTGCTAGGGCGTGCAAGCGTGTGTGTGTGTGAGTGTGTGTGTGTGTGACTGCTGAAGCTGCAGGGAAGCACAAGGGATTCTCTCACAGAAAGACGAAGCGGCGAGCGAGTGAGTGATAAAGAGGGAGAAGGAAAGAGGGGATGGGGGGGCAGAAAGAGGCTGAAATAGCTGGAGAGGAAAGAGGGAGCAAACGATTATGAAGAGAGGAGGGGCAGGGGGGATGAGTGAAAGAAAGGGCAGGAGAGAAGGAGAGAGTGGCAGATGACAAAGGAGGGAGGGAAACAGAAAGAGAGAGGGAGGGGTGACGGAGGGAGACTTCGGAGCTCGGAGGGAGGAAGCAGAGAGGGAGAGAGAGACTGATCAGAAGGAACAGAGAGGTAAAAGAATAATAGAGGATGAACCCAGTGCGTTTCTCCTGGCAGTAACGAACTAGGTTACGGCTTTGACGCTGTGGGAAAGCGCTCTGGGGTGCTTGGCTGCGATTCAAGAGGCCAGGTAAATATTGGGTTGACAGAGCTCTGGGTAGGTAGAGATTTTTAATCAGAATACATCCGCTCAGCACCATTAGAAGCCACTATTTATCATTTAAAATGGAAATGAATCCTGATGGCTGACGCACTCCGAACCAGATGGTCAGAAGCTCAGTTTTCAGCATGGTTACAGATAGGCACAGGGATAAAAAGTCCAGTGGAAACAGAATAAGAAGGGAACGAGACGTCTCCTCTGAATATTGACATGTTTGGGTTCTTTTCTGTCGAATGCAGCCTTTCTCAATCTGAATCACGTTAAAGGAGATTCCTGTTTTTTACTATGGTGTGCAGCAGTAAAAGAGCAGCAAAATAGCAAAGATAAAACAAGGACTATAGAGATATGTCAAAACAAAGTACTAAACATTGCATAAGCCCATTTAAGCAAACAAGCACAGCAGGACAAACAAAAAAAACTTATTTTTGTAACTCATTTTTTTTCTCTGAGTTGCCTAATAAAAGTGCAGGTTACCTGTGTGAAAGATGGTGTGCCACACTTTTACTGGGATCACTAAAGGGCTATGGGGGGACAGACAGACACTCACCCCCACTGGCGTACTCCATGATCAGATACAGTGTCTTCTCAGTCTCGATCACTTCAAACAGTTGCACTACAAAGTAAAGGAACACATCAGTGAATTAAAGCAGTAATACAACATGCATTTGGATCTGGTCAAATTAACTGAAAAGTCTCTTTTTTTCCGTGCACACATCACAAACTACATTTAACCTTCAGCAACACAAACACCTTGTGGTACACAATAAAAGTAAAAAACATTCAAGTCTTTTGCTAACTCTCAAGTTAGTATCCTTACAGAATGGTGTCACTACTCAACTTTTTTTACTTGTTTTCTCACAAGGAAAAAGCAGGTGCTGATGATAAATGCTTTCTGAATACTGCCCATGGCGTTTCATGTAAGTTATTTTCCGCAGGGCTTTTTACCTCAGTTTTACAAAACTCACAACACAGCTGAACAGTTGTGTAAAGGTGAGAGTAACGCAAGCCAGAGTCACGTTACAGAGTCCCAGACAGTCCTGGGAAAAGAATTTCACAATCATGGAGCTACACCCCAAAAAAGGCAAGAAAACAAAGTCCTGTATTCTACTTCCGAGAACAGGCCAGACTTGAGGCTTATGGTTGCATGTGTGTCTTACTCACGCAACCCTACGGTTAAATCTAAAAATGGTAACGCAAAGACACGCACATACCACCTGCTTCTGCTGCGCTGCGCAGTAAATCTGCTCGTCAGCCATCGGTGCCACTGGCTGAAGGCGCACAGCAGAGCGAGAGGGGTCACTCTGCCACAACGCCAACCGCGCTTGCATTCAGGCGGCGCAGTTTTTAAGCGAACTCGACGAGTCTACGACTAACAAAAGGGCGCCGCCTGTGGATTCCAATCTGCACTTTTCCCCCCTTTCCCCCCACATCAATCAGGAAGGGGTCAAATCCCAGGGGAAGGGGATGAACTAAGCAGATTTTTTTTCTTTCCAGCAGTTATGGTTTCTGGGAATCAATATGCTGTCCGAGCTGGTAGCAGGTAACCTAGTGGCTGAGTGCTTGTAGTTATCTATTACTAACACACCGAATCAACTGCTGAGTGTCCTGCAACTAGGAGGTGGAAAAGTGACTCTGACTTACTGCAGCTGTTTCATTCTATTTTCCCTACAGTTGTGTAAAACACTTCACTCGTCTTCACACTGAGAAAGTGTGCTAGCAGGTGGATAGTACTCCTACAAACTGAAACCTTTAGTCTTTTACTGTGTGCACAACGCAGCGAGCGCCCTCCCGAAGACCTGCTCCGACACTAAATTCTTCAATCTGGGCCAGCAAGCTCTGTTGGAGTTTTAAAACGAGACGCCTAGCAACGCTTTGTGGCACCCACTATGGGTTCTGACGGGATGTCCACGATGAATTATTGATGATGGGATATTAAAATCAGTCACCTTGACAGATGGATTACAGATGGATTACAGACAATCCTAAACCACACAACACCAAGTTAAAAAAAATCTCCAGCAGACACAAACTGCTCTGTATTCTTGAAGTGCAGGGCCAGGCATAGATGATCGTACATACTCATAATACCTAAATTAGCCTGGCTATCAGGAACCCTCCTCCCCTGACAACATCCTGTAGGCACAAGGACAGCCTGAACAGGATGTGACATGCATGATTCCAAATATTCCTGCAGGATCACTGTCAGCTCAGGCTGTGATAAGGGGGCGAGTGTATGATACCGACCCACACACCTCCATCGGTTCTACCGGATTTCACAGGCAGATTCCAGGGCTGTAGTGTGGAGCAGAGGTGAGGGTTCTGGACTCGTATCTGGAAGCTTGTCAACTGAAATCCCAGCTGAGACCCTGCTGTTATATCCTTCAGTAAGGGACCTCACCCAAACTGTTGCAGTAAAATGCCCAGCTGTGTAAAGGTTGGTTAAATTGAACTCTTTGGACAACAGAGTCAGCCAAATAAATCAGTAAGAGTTTCAAAAGGACAGAAATCTGAGGGTTGTTCTGGCCAGGGAAGATGATGAAGAGCCCATCACCTCTTCTCCAGGCAAACCATGCACAGTCTTCAGAGTATTAATTTGGCTGGGGTTCCTAATATTTTGACCCATGAGACTGTACCACAAGGCATGGAAAGGAGCGAACTGGACAGCTCCGTAGGAGGCTGAAAATACCATCTTTCTAAATGTGCCGCCATGCTTTATTTCAGTACACTCGCACCACAGCTCAATCACTGCAGCTGTCACTCGCAGTTTCTCCTGGGATCCCCTTCCCCTCGCCCGGGGATCACATTCCTCCTCCTCCGCCAGCGTCCCAGCAGTAACACCTACCCCTCGGGGTCTGAACGGGAGAGATCATGCTCACTTTCTGTACAGCACAGCCACACCCCGGCCAGAGCCAGGGATTCCCAGGGATCAAACAGACGTTTCCCTTCGGGAGTACTCACCTATGTTTGGATGATTCAGACCTTTCATTATCCGTACCTCTCTAAAGAGCTAGAAACAGCAGAAAGAAAAAAGAAAAACATATTAGACACGGCATCTACTCAAGAGCTGCCTACTCCTGGGACAAGGCGTGACAATCCAGAGCCCTGGAAGCATGAAGTGCAAGACTGGACTACAGCACGTAGCCCAGCAGTATGTGTTACAATATGCTTCTGAGAGGCTGCAAATCCAAGGAGATCCAAGCCAGAGTCCACCCTTGCAACCACGAGCAATGAGGCAGCGGTGAGAACGTCTTTAAATTATTTAAAAAACAAAATAAAAAATACATGAACACACAGGAGAGCAGCAGAGAGGCATCAGAAGCCCATGTCAGGTCTTGGAGAACTCACCTGTGACTCCAGCCCTGACTCGGTCAAGCCCCAGACTGAATTCTAACGCCATCTCTGCGGGGAAGGCACTTAGCGTTGGGTACACATGCGGCACAAACGCCAAACACAAAACGTAACGTATCTTGGAAACGCCCAGCTTGCGTGTGCTCCCATCAAGGGGAACTTTCTTCACCGCCCCCCTTGGCGGAGGTGTGTTTGTCTGGTTTCATTTTGTTTCTGGAACATTCAGTTCACACAGTTTAAAACCTCCTGGGCCACACATGCAAGCAGAAACAAGATGTCTGCTTACGAGGTCCACGGGACAGGATTATGATGTGACGATGTTTCTTTATTAGCCCTATACAATTTCTTGCATTAGGAATTCGTCTTTTTCGCTGACCCCAGCTTGCTCTCCATGAGACACACAGACAGGGAGAGAAGCTGGGGGTCAGAGCGCAGGGTCAGCCATTGTACAGCACCCCTGGAGCAGCTGGGGTGAAGGGCCTTGCTCAGGGGCCCAACGGAGTAGGATTCCTCTGCCGGCCGCGGGATTTGAACCGGCAACCTTCCAGCCACAGGCGCAGATCCTGAGCCACAGAGCCACCGCTCCGCCCTGTGGATTATGGAGCACCTGCCGCAAGAGGAAAAGCAGCGGCACCGCAGTGCTGAAGGAGAGACGAGGAAGGAGGAAGAACTCAACTCCTAAACGGAAACAGAGCGGCAGCTTGCCGTAACGGCCCCTTGTACGCCACGGGAAAGCTCCTCCGCGCAGGAACCCAGTACGAACCCAGCCAGAGGCGGGAGGAGGGGACACTCTGGGGCGCGTCGGAAAGCCAACGGCCATCACAGGTCCACTCGTCCATAAAGACACGAGACCCACAGAGCTCTGTCCATGTGCGTGCGGGTCCTATTACAGCACATAGCCGCGGACCCAATCTCTCGCAAACACAGCACTATTTGTGTTAAGTTTTCATTACTGTAGAACAGTAAGTAAAAAAAAAACTGATGGACAGACCGCACCACAGAAACACGTGTGAGTGTCTCCTCTGTTTCTTTCTCAGGGGGCAACGCTCTCCTGATAGGATACTGTCGGCAGTCGCAGGGCCTTGGAGAGAGCAGGGGAGTGTTTAAATTGCTCACTGTGGATTAAGTAACAGAACTGGAAGATGTTGGAGAAATTTCCAAACCTTGAAAAAAGTTTCTGATAATCATCAAAATTACTGAGGAGCTGAACAGACAATGAAATATTTTAAATATACAGCATACGGTATTATGTATTTATACTTGTCTATGTATGTCTCCCCAGACTCTTTCTAAATAACCTATGTTTCCTGAGAGAATCAACACATTTCTACAGTAACCTATAGGTTATTTGCCGAAGGACATGTCTGTACAAGTAATTAGTACAAATATAAAAACACACAGAAGGAAACACACACACTTCCACACACTGGGTGCTCTGCAAGCCAGAGCTAAGAAATATAGGCAGCAGCCCCTGGAGACAGAAAGAAACAGAAAAGCATTGATTTTAACCCTGCAAAGCAAACAGAAGCAGCTGCTGGCCTGTTTTCAAAATGAGCTCCTTGATCTGCTGTTTTTCACAACGTGAAACAGCCAAAACAAGAAGCAAAATAAAGAGAAAACATTTGTGACGTATAAAATCCAAAGACTGTCATGTCACAATGAGGGATTTTTTCAAGGGACTTCAGGCAGGGAGACCAGCCTGGCCTGTTTGTCAGGGAGCTTTCTGGAATTTTGTTTTCTCCGGTGCCGGCCCCAGTCTTCCGGGTGCACTCACTGCTGTCCTGTCCCGAGCGCCACAGAGTATCTCTGGGACACAGGGAGCCCACTGCCAGCGTCACTGGCACTCCCTCTGTCGGAGGACAAGACTGAGCCTCCACTTGTTCCAAGTGGAGGCAGACTGACCCAGAGCCGAACGAATGAGTCCAGAGCTCAGCCCTCTGCCCCAGCACCGAAACACAAATGATCTGCTTCCGTTGTGTAACCGCTGTGCACAGGATGACACAACACGAAGCAGCTTTTGTCTCACACGCAAGGCACTGCAAATAAAACTTAAAAAAAAACATCGAGCCTTCATATTTTTATGGAAGCAGGCGCTTTGTTTAAATTTTGACCTTGCTCAAATCAAAGAATTATGTTGGTCCTTTAGGGAAGTTAAGACGTTTTGCCATCATTTAAAGAAAGAGCCAGCCCAAAGTTCTTATCTGATGACGCATGTTCTGCATGGCAGTATTTTCAGTATGTTACACACCTCACTGCAGGGCAAAAAAGAACTTTTGGTCATTAGGCAACCATTTCCTTTCTCTTCTGCTCATGAGTTATTTGTCTCGATCTGCATATAGAAAAGTAATATTAACACACTCAATCAAGGTCATTGAATTTTGTTCTGCTTCTTAAATAAAACAGGAGGACAATGCTGCACCAGCTTTTAAATACAGCACACCACACAAACATGTTCGTTTGTGTGTTAATGCACAGCCGCAGTACACACACGAGAGCCACGAGCACTGCATTCGCAACACACACCTTTGAAATCAACCTTTCACAGCACCCACACACAGACGCGGAATTGGAGAAGATTCTACATTCATACAGATGCGAGCTCTTCACCCAAAAATAGCACGCACTGTCACAGCACACCCTCTCTCACTCCGACCCTCTGAGACTGCCCTAATTGAATTGAGAAGGGGAAGCATCAGCTGTTCACCTGAGCACTAAAGATAATAATCACATAAGCCTACTCTTTCTCTCTCCCTCTCATAAATTGACTTCCTGGTTCATTCCCTGGGGCTTACCCACGTCACTGTTGCCATGGTGCTGCCGGTATTAAGAGACAAGGCTCTCTTCCCAAGGGCCAGGCTGTATCATGTGCCCCCTACTACCCCTCCTCACCCCCCACCTAGAGCCTGATGGGATGTCCACCAATGGCAATATCCCAGGAGCCCCTGCACTGCTAGGTCAGCCAAAGCCACATATGTGCCGGCCCCTGCTCCCGTCCTTCTATTAGCAGGCTCCAGGGTTTTATGTGGTGACAACAGGAGCCCTTGGCCATTGTAATCCAGCTCCCCCCTCCCACCGAGTGGTGGTACGGTCCATCAGCAGACCCTCGTCACGTGATCTCTCCCACCTCATCACAAGGGGAAGATCTCATAACCCTGCCCGTACTGTAGCTAGCCACATCTGTCACTCTGTTCCCATTCATCCTTGTATTCTAGATTTTCTTTCTTTTAGATCCGGGCGTTGCATGTTGCATGATGCATTTTTAATTCAAAATATAGTAATACATCATTATATGCTTTGAAATGATCTATTATACATCAACACAACGTTACAGCTTTCCCACACCTTAAAAGGGCTTAGCATCCAAAGCACTGGGTTTTTTCTTTCGGTTTTTCAGAGTGGAACTAATCTTTGCTTGTTCTTTTGCAGCCAACACACGATGACGCAGCTCCTCACTTGAACATTACTACTCCTACTTTTAACACTGCTAATAATAATCAAAATTTAAACTTCAATGCAACTGCAAAAATAACCGGATTGGCTCTTCAGTGGCACAGGTCAGGTGCTGCAACACCGCCTAGATAATGAAAAGCTCCCTATCCCTTCCGTCTTGCATGCAGAACACAGGATTAGGTCTCATAAAGGCCCCCTGTGCTGCTGTTGCAGGGCAACGAGAGACTGTCCTCTGCCCCAGGCTACAGTGGTGAGCCAGGGCTTAGAGCAGACATATTACCACACTGCCTTCCCACCGGCTATGGTATAATTAGGGATGCCGCCAGCCGCCACACCACAGGAGCTCAAGGACAGAAAAGGGTCCCACAAGGCTGTCTCACATACACCCATCACAGTGGAAAGGCCCTGTTTCGAGGTCTGTCACTATGCTTACCATACCCAGAACTATTCAGAGACACAAAAGCGTGAGAGTGGCTCCAGACGAGAGGAGGCCGGTTGTCCCACGTGGCTCATGTTAGCTGACTGATCCGAGGATTTGGCCGTTTCCTGAAGTGAGCCAGGGTACCGGCTTCAGCAGCAGGGCTGGGCAGTTTGTTCCACAGTCCCACAACCCCTGCGTGTACATGCCTCCTGGATGGACTTCCCCGCTGTTCAGTGTGTTGTGAATAATCTTGCATGATTCTCATTTTCTTTGTTCCCTGCATGTCACAGTGGCAGAATACCGTGTCGCGAGGCGCAGTGCTCAGAAGGAGATGCTCTCCCCGATGCACGACCTCTCGCTAGCTGAAAGTGAAAGTGCGGTTTTTTTACCTCACTTTATTAACCCTTTACAATCTCTTGCATTAGGAATCTGTCTTTCCACAGACCCCAGCTCGCTCTCCATGAGACACACAGGCAGGGAGAGAAGCTTGGGGTCAGAGCACAGAGTCTGCCCTTGTACGGCGCCCCTGGAGCAGTTGGGGTGAAGGGCCTTGCTCAGGGGCCCAATGGAGTAGGATTCCTCTGCCGGATGCGGGATTTGCCACAGAGCCACCGCTTGAGCCACGATGGGGTACAACGCGTGAGAAACCTGGGAGCGGGCGGGGCTGCTGGCGTCGGCCCTGGGCACAGTGCGTGTGAGGGTGTGTGCGCGGGGCGGGGCAGCTGGGGCACCGGGGCAGGGCTGACTCACAGTGCACAATGCCTGAGTCAGCCTGACCTAACAAGCACTGACACGCCTGGGAGGAGGCTACAAACCCACCGCCCTGCTCCACGCGCAGAGCTGTGTGGCGACGAGCACTAGAAATCTGCACGCCACCCGTAAGGGTATGAAGCCCAGCACGATACTGGCATATGTGGTGGAAAGCACAGAACTGACATTGAGGGATGTTGTGTCAAAACTGCACAATATTTTGTCAAAACTAAATTTCGAACAGGGTTCACAATTGTGATTGGCATGTTAAAAAAAGAGGAAAAACTTTTGAGACAGAACCAGTTCAAGGAACACCACCAAAGAGACTCCTGGTCATAAAGGCTGAAATAACCTGAAATAGACAGGCTGAAGCAAGCACATCTCTTTAATCCCTGGCGAAGGAAAAGGGACACAAGTATCCAAACTATCAACAGAGTCAGCCCAGAAGACACCTTCCATACTAAAAGTAAAGCAAGAAAGCAAACTCACAAGCAGAAAAGGGATGTACATTTAAGACTAAAAACAGAAGGTACAAAGGGATTTCTTTTGCACAAATAGTTGTGGGAGTCTGAAACAAGCTACTTGCTCATGCCCTTGAAACAAACTCCCTGAGGTTTTTCACAAAACCTCTGGATGAGATCCTGGGATTACCACAAAAATGAGCAAGATGGGTCTAATGTCAACCTCTTGTTAATTCGATTTTTTTCTTGTTTTCTTATGCTGGTTGAAGACCATGATAACACAGGCTTATCATAAAAGGCATAAATATAAAAATGATCACTATCAACACAGAGAAGGCTCTCATTTACAGCACATACGAGGAGATGAAACCATTGGTATAAAAGCACACTCTCAGTATATTGATATTCCGGCTTGTACCTTTCTTTCTAGTACATTCGAACAGACTGATGTCCAGTCAAACAGTAATAGGATACTGTCTCACAGACATCCATAATCTGAAACAGATCAATTGTTATCTAATGGCAGTACTATTTTCTCTTAGCAAAACAGAGGATGATTAGAATGTTAATTATGATCATCGTAATTAAAGGGCAAATAAATTTGCCACCCTCACAGGGATTTAAAATAACAGGCATCTGGAGGCTTTGCGGAGATCTGTGTGAATGCTCCATTTGATCTGCGCTGTTGTGCCAGATGGCCCCAGCTTGAGCTGCTAAAAGTTCAGGCCACAAGCGCCTGGACCTGGGGGAAGGGTTGGCATGGTCCTACCTCTCCCCCTCGCAGCACCCATCCCACCACGGGCTCGCTCACACACCAGCTGGCAGGGGTACCCTGCTATCTCCCTCCACATGTTTGGGGGGGGGGGGGATCCCAAAATACCACCCCCACACACCCTCCCACCCTCAGACTGGCACTTATGGGCACTGGAGGAGGTCAGCATGTCTTTGTAGCAATGCAGAAGGCTGCAATGTGGACAATACCAAGTACAGGCTAACTGGAACATTACTCTGCACATTTTGTTGATTGCAACATCTTCAACACGTACATGTAGATGTTAAAAGTATGGGGTGGCTCTGTGGCTTAGGATCTGTGCCTGTGGATGGAAGGTTGCCGGTTTGTATCCTGGGGCCGGCAGAGGAATCCTACTCTGTTGGGCCCCTGAGCAAGGCCCTTCACCCCAGCTGCTCCAGGGGCGCCGTATACATGGCTGACCCTGCGCTCTGACCACAAGTTTCTCCCCTGTCTGTGTGTCTCATGTAGAGCAAGCTGGGGTCTGTGAAAAGACAAATTCCTAATGCAAGAGATTGTATATGGCCAATAAAGTGATCTTATCATAACACAGGCAAGGCAAGAAATTGTCATCAGAGAGAGAAAACAAGTGTTCTTCCTTGACAGGTGCTTTTCTGCGTTGCAGCCCAAGTTTGTCAGGTCTCAGAGGCTAAGCAGGGCTGGTCCTGGTCAATTCTGGGCTGGGAGACGTCTAAGGTCTCTAATCAGCTCACCAGGTTACTCTGTAAGTGATGTCGAGGGAGTAGCTGGCAGTGCCCTTCCCTCTGCACCAGAATTTACAAACTAAAACCAACAACCATTCGGCGCCCCTGGAGCACTTGGGGTTAAGGGCCTTGCTCAAGGGCCCAACCTAGTAGGATTCCTCTGCCGGCCATGGGATATGAACCAGCAACCTTCCAGCCACAGGCGCAGATCCTTAGCCACAGAGCCACTGTTTATTGCAGACCTGCAATATTGCTTTAGGAAATAATTGTATATAATAAATTGTTGTATAGTTTAACTACACTTATACTTTTATATAGTTTATAGTTCATCACTGGGACTTCAATTACTGGCTGTCAATTGGAATGAGCTGGGAGATGGGTCGACAAGCACGCGAGTCTGGCCTACCTTGTTTTAATTAGGACACAAAGGGCAGAAGAGGAGATTTCCAATTCGCACACCCATATCTATACCATGCGAGGAACAGCAGGAGAATGGAAACGGGGGGGGTAGGGTGGGGATCAGGGACCCCCAGATCACGGTGGGTTGTGGCAGAAAGGGGACGCTACGGCTTTAAGAGCAGACGGTGCTTTGGGGCTGCCCAGGACTTCACGGGGGGGGGAGGGGAGAGAAGCTATACATCCTCCATTCAAGCCCCCCCCTCAATGACCCAGGCCAGCATTCCAGACAGGCAAACAAAAGAGACAGCTTAGGCAGTGGGGCGGGGGTCCTTGAGGGGCCTGTCTTGGTAAAGCACCCCTGTAAGAGCCTGACAAAAGCAGGCCAACGTGATAGGGCAGTGGATGCTCCAGTGTGGATGAGTGAGTGTGTGAGGGACAGAGGGCAGGGGGCGGGGGCGGGGGGGGGGCACTGTACACCAGGCAGAGTGCCTCTCACCACACAGGAGCAGAGAAAGAGGGGGTGTGCGCGCTGACAGGGAGTCGGCATTTTCCCACCGTGTCTTTCTAAGGAAGCAAAAAATAAATAAAAGATCCTGCTCTCCTTGAGGTTCAATTAACATCTCAGGCAAAGGAGGAGTCTGGGAAACGAGAGGGACACCCCGTAAGGGTGTGTGAGAGTCCGCGAGCGAGATCGGAGCAGGCACTGCGGAGAGAACCGGGCCGCACAGGGAAATACCAGACCGGGCCTGCCGCAGGCTCGCAGAGGCCCGAGGGATCTTCCAGCCCGGCTCTGGACTGGACTCCTGCAGCTTTCAGGGTCAGATGACCACACACAGAGAGCAAGAGGGACCTGCTGTCTCCTGCGAGGGAATAGTGCAGAGCAGCCGCTGCCCCCTCTGCCCCCATGTTCACCCCCAAGAGCCTGACTGCCTTGCAGAGAAGTGGTGGGACAGGCTGCAGATTAGGCTAATGCTTCTCTAACTGCTGTATGGAGGAGCTGCAGGGGTACTCCAAGAAAGGCCTAGCTACACATGACTCAATCAGATGCACACTCTAACTCCATTGTCAAGAGAGATCTGACAACACCAGATGTTTGCACATGCCTACCGCACCAACCGGAATGAATATGGAGAAGAAATATATTTACGATATTTCGTTTTCCTTTCTATTCACTTCATAAGGTTCTTAGATTTCACTACATTTTTATTTCAGGTTAACCTACTGTGGGATCAGGCAGTCCCTGCAGAGATTAAGAACAGTCTGGAAACCCGTGGGTGCCAATAACATCCACAGCATGCGCTTTACAGTTCACTCCTGCAACCAGACTGAAGCCTGTGCATCTCAAGCGGACATGCAGATGGTGGAATAAAATCATTCCTTTATACAGGGGGACACATGTTTTGTCCCACAGAATCCAAAAGGACCCAATTAATCTACCAGTGAACTGCAGCACCCACGGGTGGCACACTGCAGCCATTCTGCACAGCTGAGTTCAGAATGCACTAGTTTGAACCTGTGCCTTATCAGTCAAAAACCTTTACGCCTTATGTCAGTGTTGCATGCATGCAAACCATTCTTCTGGATATTTTCACTCCATCTGTCCTGGCAAGATAATTTAAACTGCAAATACCAACCGACAGAAACCAAGGTTCTTCAGTCACATGTGTAGCATTCCAAAGGTTCCACCTACTCTCCCTGGTAAGGCATTGAACTCCATAGGAGACAGCGCAAGTGATATTGCCACAGCACTTAGAGATCAATAATTAACAAACTTTACATTTCTTGAAATACTTAGGATTTATCTACATCCAGCTGCAGAATTCATCACAGTTCTGTTTTATTCTAACTGCCTCTGAGATCAAAAATGAAATCTTACATTGTAGTTCCCAAACTTAACGGTTGGCAGTTACTGACAGCTAATTTTGAGTTATATTTTTGTGGGGTGAATCGCTATTTTGAAGAAGTCTGTTTTTTTTAGCCCTTTTGGATGCACTTTGGACTTAGTTATTACACCCTGAAATGAAATCAATACCAGGGGACTCACCTTTTGCAGGCTGGTAGGGTTCAGCTGAGTTTTGTCAATAATTTTTATTGCAACCTGAAACAAAGAAAAATAAATAATAGGTATGGAGATTCCTGCACTTTACTTAACAGCATTACGTACTGATGTAATATAAAACATTTCAGCTTTTATCTTAGTAAATTGCACGTATGGACTTGTTGGAGTTGTGGAGGTGGACTTGTAAGTTTCACCAGGAAAGGAGCTGATTTACTGGCAATGCATATACAGTGGGTCCACATTTATTCACACCCTTGAGTGAGCCTTCAGTATTTGTTGTGTGAGCAAATTAAGATGAGGAAGATTTTCGGTATTCCATACTGCAAAAACATCCATCCACACATTATCAGAGAGCAGTGCATTCTAGTAAGACTCATGGCAACCCAGAGCCTGTCCAAGAAGCCCAGGGTACAAGGTGGGATTTTATTCTGGGATGGACACCAGTCCACTGTAGGGCAAGCACAAAGGGACAACACAGAGACACCAGTTAACCTGGCCTGCTGGTCTTTAGAAGGTGGCAGCAAACTGGTGCATCTGGAGAAAAGCTATTCAAATGTCTAGAAAATACTTGTGTTCAAATACATGACATTCACACCCTGGCAATTTGTCAAAAATAAATGCCAGTGAAACAATTCTCTGAACGTTTTAGAAATCTAGCAGTTTCATAAAGCCGCAGAAAGACTATAGAGGCTTCTGGAATCCACACTGATTGTCATCGGGTTTTAATTGAGGCAGAACACAGAAGCACTGTCATGTGGAATGACAAAGTCAAAAGATCTAAAGGATTTAAATTATCAACCTCCACAACTCTAGTGATAGTTCTACAAAATCGTAAGACATCCCATTTTCAAATTTACTGTTCATCACCCAAAGGTTAAAGAAAGAAGAGGACCCCATCAGGAAGTGGACGTCTTTTGAAGGTTTTACCAAAATCCACAGTAAGAGAAGTGGTTTGGAGGGCTCCTTCACAACCAGAGACAACAATTAGGAATCTTCAAAATTATCTGGGATCATCAGGATACAACGTCTCCTGGTCAGCCAGATTTCCAAGATATGAATTTTTTTAAATAACTGACTCCTAGTTGGGTGAAACAGAAACTGATTTTAGGATGTCTTATGAGGAGTATGTTCTGCGCAGAATGCTGAAGTTCATGTTGGAAAAGAATGCCTGCCCTTTGGTGAAGCACGGAGGCAGATCTGCTAGGCTGTGGGGCTGTTTTCATCCCCTGATCCTGGAGCCTTTGTTAGAATTCACAGAGGGAAGAATTTCATGACATTTAATCCAACTACTGACTCCTCCTGCAAAGATGCCGGAGTGTGGTTGCCAACAGGGACTTTCCAGCAGGATAAGAAAGCATAAAAAAAACTTTTCTGGATCAGGTGTCACAGTCTCCAGACCTCATCTTCCAACAGAATATTCCTAGGATGAACTGTCAAAAGAAGGGCTGACGTTCTGCATGGAGGAGGGCAGAAATCTTGACGAGGAGTGCCCGAGTCTGTTAAAAGGCTACAGGAAGCACCTGCTGTATGTTCTCTAAGGAGGATCCATGAAATATTGATTTCGGGTACACTGGTAATCTTGACCGCTGTATGTAGAGAAAACTGTGGCAGCAGCGACTCAGAACTAGATGTCTGTGGGTTCAAACCCCAGGTCGGGCACTGCTTTTGTATATTTGAGCAAGGAATGTAGCTCAGATAGCTCCTGTCACATGTTCAGCTGTGTAAAAATGGGAACACATATATGTCACTTTGGATGAAAACAACAGCCAAATAAATTCCTAATGATAACATATGTAATTTTTGTTTCTCAGATTTATTTTTTGCAGTATCTGGTACTGATATGCTGACAAAGTTTCATGTTTTCATTTACTGTACTTAGACAACAAATACTAAATGGATTTGTCGTTTTGCTAAAAACAACTTTCACGGTGAGCATTACTGCCTTCTGGGCATCTTCTCTAAGGTGTTCGTCTGCTGTGAATTTCCGCAGGTTTTCCTCTTACATGTGGAAGACATGATGGCTGGGTGAAACACTGTCTCCAAATCGTCTATGTGTGCGTCTCGTCTCTGGAGTAGCTTGTCCTTCCACCCTAAACATTTGGGGTAGGTTCTACATTGCCTCAAACATCACCAAGAATACTCAATACAATGGAAAAAATTACTTTCAGTTACATTGTATCAGTGGTATGAAGACATCTGTGGGCAACTAAACCCACAGTAGACACCTGCACACAGAAGCGATGACCTCATCCCGGCTTTCTAACTGCTGTGTATGGGACTATTTGTACCATGTCTCCAATTTCATTTGCTTGGAGAACATCTTTTATGCAGCAAACCAGGTTTGGGAACGCTGAATGGCAGTTGCAAGAATGGTAAAAGACAAAAATAAAAACTGATGATTCTGGAGTTATTTGAGAATTGGGGAAGCAGGCTTGCTCTAGAACCTGTGGCCATTGAACCCGACCCTGTGGTCTTAGCTCAGCAATCAGAATGGCGTGCAGATGCAAAGACTAATTTAGAGTAAGACAGTTATTATTTTAAAGACCTCAAAAAAAAACTATGGCTCTGCCTAAATTATTTCCTGTCCGGTCTAGTGAAGGGGGTAAACCAGTACATGATCATTCATTCCCACAGTCTACACCAGCTCACAGCTCAGCAGTATCACATGCCTTGAGAGCGGTGCTGATGCTGCCTGGTTACTGGACTTGAGCTCCATCATGGACACTGGGCACCTTGTTACCTTCCCTGCCCAGCAGGAGAGTGAACCTGGCGCTTCTCTGCCCTGTAATCTGATTGGGAATGGGACGGCACTCTTTTACAAAACCCAGATCCTCTTCGCAATGAATAAGCAGGCTGTCCTTGACTCACTGTGAAGTACGGTGGGGTTTAAAGAGCACACATCGGAGGTGCTCATCCTCCCGCGTCAAGTTCTTACCTCCCTCCCCGTCAGGATGTGTCGCGCCAGCTTGACCTTGGCGAAGTTACCCTTCCCGATGGTTTTGAGCAGGCGGTAGTTGCCGATGTGCGGTTGCTCGTCGGAGCATGAGGCGATGGAATTCCGACACCGGGCGCCCAGGGAGCGGCTCGACCAGCCGGAGCCCTTCTCCGAGCGGCTGCCTGTGAGCGAGGCATGCTGGGAAAAGAGCAAGACGGGGAGAGGCGGAGAGGCCTCCGTGAGCGACAGACGAGCTCAATCGCTGCCTGCACTGCCTCACGCCCCAGCCCTGACGAACACCATTCCAGGGCTCGTCAGGTCTTTCCGAGACCGTTTCGACACGGGAAGAAAAAAAAACTATAACGCCTATGAGAGAGACAGGACAGCTTTTGAGAAGTTTAATTTTTCCACTCCATTTCATTCCCAAAAAAATGGAGGAGAAAAAAGCTGACCTGAAGCAATAACCTTTCAGAATAATCCCGTGTTTCACCTGAAAGAGCTTCATTTTCTAAGAAAATCAAACTGGATTGCAGTTCACTGGCAGTGCTTTCCAGCAAAAGGTTTGTTTATTCTGTAACATCTGTATCTTCTTTGCATCTCCTTTTCTCCCTCTCATCAGCCAGTTTTTGACGAGTCTCTCGCTGCAGTTTCTCATCCGATCGCTATTTTATTATTTTTATTTCTAAGACAGAATCCTGCTGTGAACCAGCCTGTGGCTGTGTTGGGCCAGTGGGTTGCCACATGTCATTTATTGCACGCACAGTAAGATTATAGCCCTCTCCTCCAGAAGAAATAAATAAATGAAGAATATATACCACCACAGCTTCTACTGACCTGAACTGAACAACCAAGAAGATCCTCTTTAAAATGCAGCAGAAAGCTGTTCTTTTGTCAAACGACGTTTTATTTTAAATTACAGAGTTTCTGCTTCAACCGAATGCTGTTTGCGTAACAACTATAAACCAGGATTTCCAAATGGTGCCACAATAAAATGAATCCAAACCAAGCAAAAAAATTCCAGCTGTTCCTCAACATTTGGCCGTCTGTAATTTCATTATCAGCTTCTGTTTTGCAATGGAAATGCACTGGGTCACTACTGCACCAGAGACCACTGTGCTCGAGACTCCTCCATCAGCCTTTTTTTCCACCAATTCATAGTTTCTGTGAGAATGTGGCCTTGGGATTTGTTTCTAGAATACCTGTGGCACACACTATTCAGGTGTCTGTATATGCACTTTGCAAGGCAGCAACATCAATGCCTTGTGTCTGCAAACTATGGAGGTTAATAGTTCCTTTTATAATACCATGCACTTCCAAAACATGCAGTCATTCTTCCAAAGGGTATCTGCAGTTCAAGGGAAGCATGTGATAAACACAATTCTCCTTTGGGGGGGGAAGGAACTGCACAAGGCCACTTACACAACTGTGAAAAATCTACCCCAGCCACAACCCCTGGACACCCTCAGCACACTGTCAAAGGAAACCGGACTCCCACTGCATAAAAGAATGAGCCACTTCAGATTCTTCTATTGCACTAAATCTGTTGGGCCTGGTACCTTGTTTTCAGGGAATCTGACTGCACTGTTGTGCAAACCTATAATAATACTAAGCAGGATATTTTGGCTCTTGCACTTCCTTCGTCATTTGTAGGACAAACCTGCAGTTTCTTTAGCCCCGAAGGGGAAAAAACTTGCTGCACAACTTTGTCTCGTTTGTCTTGCCCGCATTCACCTGAGAAACAGAAATTCTATTTATGGATAAAAATCAAATCTCTGTGAGAGTGAAATAAAGGAGTGGAGCTGGCCTAGAAGCATCCCAGCTGACAAAGAAACAAAAAGTAGATAAATGACAACTGATGGAGACAATCAAGGGGCGAGATGTTGCACTGCACAGAAGAGACGAGCCTCCTTCTACTTAACCGTCCTGACAAAACGCAGCCGATCGAATCGGGAGCTGAAGACAGGAGGGTGAGTGTTAACGTGCCATCCCCTGTCCCATTTCAATTTGCGTCTCGGGAGGCGGCTCAAATGACACTCCAGACCGGGAGTGAAAACTGACCCAAAATCAAACATTTTGCCACGTTTGGATTTAAATCGAGGCGCCTTTCTTGGTTTTATTTTAAAACGTTATTTGTAGTCCAGGGACATCCCCTTTTTATGTTTCAGGGATTTTTCGGGGACATTTCAACCGAGCACGCAAACAGAGGGAGACTGAAGTGCTGCAGGCGGGCAGGTTGTGTGCAGTGTTCTGCTTTTCATTCTGGCTTTCTCAGCAATCTTGCTCAGCTCCCCCCCTCCTCATCCCTCCCGTCTCATCCAGCCACTCCTCTCCTTATTTCTGCTCTGCACCCAAATCCCCACCCTGTCATCCAGCCCCCCTTGTTCCCGTCTCTCTGTGCCCATTTCACACAAAACTCTCTTGAAAAATACCCCAGCAGAAAAAAAGCACTCCTCCCCCACCCCCCCAAAAAAAGAATTCTGGTTCTCTCCCTCTCTCCAGCTGGTGTCTTCCTCTTTCTAACCCAGGCTTTTCCTGTCTGTCTCTCCCCCCTCCCGTCTCCCTCGGGGAGAGCCTATCGATTCCCCGGCTCTCGCGGTCTGGTCACCGCTGCCCATGCCTGCAGGGATGGAGCTTGTCCAGTTGGCTGACCCTGCAGGCATGTGAGTGGGGGAAGGGCATTTGGTGCACCCCCCCCCCCCCAAAAAATCTGACCAATCCCCCCCAAAAGTGCGGACAACCCAGAGAGCTGCGGCCAACTGCGAGAAGAGCAGAGACATCAGATCTGTGGTACCTGTCCGCTGTGGCTCAGGCACAGTAGTGATGACACACGGGGGGATTCCACCGAAAGGACTGCTTCCAAGAGAGTCCTCCCGCTGCAGTGCTGGCCAGGGTCTCCTGGTCCCGCGAGTGCGGGTCCTACTGCGCGAGGCGCTGCCGGGTCCGAGACGCCCCCGCCAGGCGGAGCTCGCCCCAGAGGTTTCTATTTTACGTTCTGGGTTTTTTTTTTTTGTGGTTGAGAGACCTTCGCAGCCAAGGTTCCCCGCAAACCGCCGAGCAGGAAGGCATCTTGGCAGGAGAGCTCTCCTGGGCTTCGCTGGAGCCGCTCCGCGGTGCAGACGAGCCCCCGGCCTTTCGCAGCAAAGACCCGCGCAGGACCCCTGGGACAGGCCTGCTGACCGGGGACAGACAGAGGACGTGGTCCACGGCGCAACCAGTTGTCAGGTGCACCGCAGTGTGGATTACTGCACCACTGAGAACACGAGAAAAAGCCACAGTTCTCAACCCCTACAAAATCGTACCACAGCTCCCGACAAAAAGCGAAATGCCAAATGCTCTGTAGCACTAGCTGACGGTGACCCAACCTTGACTGGAACCTGCACTCTCCAGACTACAAATAAAAAAACATACCAGAAATGGGCAGGATAATGTGCTGGCCTGCACAGCAACGACGATCTCATAGCGAGAGGCTCGTTCAGCACCAGGTGCTGAGTCTCCTCTCCGGGTACCTCACCTCTCCCCACGCCCCTCCCCGTCGCACAATCAACCACAAGAAGCCCTCTACATTCTCAGGGTTGTTCACCGTCGTTAATCTGGTACCATTCAAAGTAGGAATCAGACATCGAACATTGCGCCCTCAGCGTTTCTGTGCTGAAGGTGCCAAACAGCAGGGTGAACCGACAGTGACAGTAAAGGATCTACAACAACAGTACCACAGCAGTGTATGCAGTAGACCTGGTGGTGAGGTGAGTCAGAACAGGACACACACGCAACACCATGTGGGAATATTTATGACTGGGTTTTAAGCCAGAAACATTTTCATACGAAGCGAGGTAGAAGGAATTGAAAACATCACAACAGAATGGGGCTGCACCTTCACGCGCAAAAAAACCAGCCTAAGGCCAGGACACCTTCTTCACTACAGGACACTGTCTTGTAGGTCCTGTTTGAAAGCACCTCTCAATGGCTTAATTGGACCCTTAATTTCAATAATAAGTATGATTTACTAATTGTAACTTTTCATGTGCCTTCAGCAATGAGGGTGTCTGAAATTTTCAGTCAGCTACAGAAGTGCCTGTGAGTTGAGTAGAAACTGAAATGGTTACATTTAATTAAAAGACAATTCCAAATTATGGTTTAATCACAAGCTCTGCTGGGACCAGAAGCAGCTGGTGCTCGGGTGGGATGGAGCAAGACAGAGGTACCCTGGCTTTGGCTCTCTGGGCACAGAAAAATCCCACTTAAAGCTGTATTTTTCAAATTAAATCACGTTGAAAAGAAATGGAGCTTCCAAGAGCCGACCTGCAGAGTGCACTGCGTCTTGGTGATCCGATATCTCCAGGTTGAATTTAAACAGTGAGACTCCTCTGGCTTTGCCATTGTGCTGCAAGCTGTAGAGAAAGTGCACACTGGCATCTGGTGAGACTGCACCCTTATAAAAAAAAAACAATCTGGAGATCTTTTTTTAGTAAAAAGCCTCTTACTTCTGGTAAACAGGAATACAAAACACAGTGACCACAGATTACGAGATAAATAACCAACACCTCAATGCGTTTATTCTACAGTTGTAAACCAAATAGCTCACAACCTTCTCCTGCCTTATACACTCCTTCCACATACTAAACACAGGAAAGATGACAAACTAGAGGCAGCCATTCAGCCTGTCCAGCTTGTTGCACTGCTACACTCTAAGTGATCCACGGTTCTCCTGAAAGAAGCCCGGGTACCGGCTACACGGCCGGAGTGTGGGTCCCCAGCTGGCAGCCAGTGTACAAGTACAGCGAGGGGCTCCGGGCGGAGCTGGACTGGTTCGGGAAGCCTGGTAGATTCCCAGGGGCTGGCCAGTTCTCTGCAAGCAGCGAACAGAGCGAGAAAACGCCGTCTACGCAAAGCAGAACGGAACCACAAAACAGGAAGTGGGAAAAGGAACGAAATGGCTGACCATCTAACCCACAAGACACAAAAGGCACTGTGGAAAGCAGTCTGGGCCGACACACATCAAAGAGAGGGTCCATCTACAGGGATTTCCCTGTATCCACCCCCACCAGCAGTGCGGTGTTACCGTCACAGGCACACGTCAGGGGCAGTGTTCCGCTGAGCCATGATGTGTTCAGGGTGTCTGGCCCTGCCACAGTGGCCTTGCTGGGCTCCTGGGAGAGAGAGAGAGAGCACCAGGCCCTGTGGTCACGGACACTTTTTAA